GCAGAGTCTGACTCCTGACTTAAAGGGCTTCTTGGGTTGTTTTAAAATAACATTATTTAAATAAAACATGAAAATACTGTTATGATAGCAACATTGTAATGTTCTGAAAGTCACTGAATATTTGAAAAATATGTCCTGTGGAAAGGGTTTCTGTAACACATACTGTACCAATGTGCACATGCACACATGCAGACACACACATACGCACGCACACACACAGATGTACGCAAGCACACACACATATGTGCATACACACATATACAAACAAACACATTTGCACTCCTTTAAGCACAGAAACACAAACACCAAAATGCGCTACACCATAGATTGGGATGTTTGATAGACACTCCTCCTGGCTGTACAGCCCACTGCACAGCACAGACACGTTAATGCTATCGCCCTGAGGCTCGAGCAGGACTACGACGCATGCATTAGTTTACCTAGAGCCGGAGCGCTGGCACTCCTACAGCGGACTGCAGCAGTTTCAGGAGAGCAAGCAGAGAGACAGGCAGAAAAGCACAAGAGAAACAGCACAGTGTAGAGTTCAACAACACAAGGGGTTAGTGAGAGACAGCGCAGGGAGCAGCCGTGACCAGCATCAATCAATTAATCATTATGATAGCCCAAAAAAACTACCTCACAACCGTCTGAAGAATTATCTGTAGAATTATATAGAACCACACACCTCATGAATATGGATGCTTATTGTTTAAATCTTATTGAAATTAAATTGAATTCAGTTATGGAAAAGTTAGGGACCTTTTAATTTTCTTTCTTTTTCATTGTGTAATTATGGTACAATTAGATTAAGATATGCATCTTGTATATAATTATATGATTAAATAAAAGCTCTGCCTGTGATGCATAGTTTGATCAAAGACGGATGCTCATTGGAACATGATTTGTTAATTTACATTCATATGTTCATATTACATTCATATGCTAATAAATCCACTTACATTGTGTTCTCCCCAATCTGGAATTGCCAATTGTCCTATTCTGTCATACCATCGCTATGGCAACACTAACCAGTATTCAGAGCTCATATACTCCTCCAAGACATAAGATGGTGAATATTTTCTATTCTACCAGCCTCACAGATGACACTAGGAAAGCTAGAGCCAGCATGGATCTTTTACTTATGGACAACTGCTGGCCTGCAAGTGCCTGGTTGGCCACTAGGGGGTGCCAATGCATCAGTAAAACAAGGGTCAGATTCCTGGCTGCCAGTAGCACTTACTGTATCAGTGTGCCAGGGACCAGGAAGCTCAGCCATTGGCCAGATTCTCAGAGGGGGATTAATGGAAGTGTCTTTCGAATTGAACCCACAGAGCTCAAGGGCTTTTCCTTCAAACCCACCCTCACTGAGTTGATGTGATTAGTTGGGAAATACTGGGTACTACATCCCAAAGACTGGATGAGGTCACTGCTCTGAACTGCACTGATTTCACCAGGCTTAGAGTGGAGAGGTTTGAGCCCGACACACAAGCCTAACAGAACCGTCACTTGACGAACGCTGGCTAATGTTAGCCAGCCGAGTCTGACGGGATGGAGCAAATCGAGTCTGGCAGCAGCGAGGGATTAAGGAGTTAGCGGTTAAACTTGCCAAACATTTTGACATATTTTGGGCTTTCATCCATTCTGATCCCATCATATTCAAAATAATTAGCAGTTAATAATGAGTTATGCAACTGACTTTTATCCTTTCCCCTGATTTGTGGAGTAACCCCCTGGTAGCTGTCAGTTACAGCACTCAGCCCCCAGCCAAGTTTGAGAACACATTGAATTGTTTTTTTTTCATGTAAACCTGGAAATGAACAGAATAGTTTTTAAATATTTTAAACATAAAAAGTTCTGGCATTTAAAATGAAGAAGAAATATTAATATTCTGAAGAAGTATTTCTAGGTCAAATTTAAGGAAATTTGTCACATTGATCATGCTAACTCCTCTGTCCAAAAGGTCAGACCCCATCGGACATTTATGGGGGAACTTAAAGGCCAAGAAAGTTTTGGATACTTAAAGACCATGGGATAACAAGGTTGTGGAGTCCATGCTGGCTCCAGTCATCACAGCAAAAGGGGGACATACCGAAAACTAAGACACTCTGAAATTCATGTACATTTTTAAAAAATCCAGCTTTTCACTGAAATTGTTAATATAATATGTAATGAATAATGTTGAATTAAATTATGAAAGAATGCAAAACAGAAGCACTTCCACTAGTGGTCTCAGACTTTTGGGCTGCACTGTAGAGGGTCATACCTCAGGAGGCCTTGAGAAGCTACAACCTCGCTGCCTGGGAACAGGACTTAACGGAGCAGCTTGTAGGAGGCTGGCAGAAATACTGTGCGTGTGACACACGCCTCCTCTGAACATTCAGTTGAAGGGTACACTTTGTTGTGTAATTTTTGGTATGAAATTCAGGTTTGAATGCATCCCCACCTTAGAAACCAACCCTCCCATAGCTGGATGGTTACAAAATATTCTTTGCTTCCCAGAAGTGGGCAGGTTTATCTGTCTGGGGTTTATCTATCTTTCTCCAGGCGAAAGCAGAAAGGTATAAACCCGGCAATGTCAGACTAGGCTCAGCTTTTTATGTGACCCGACAGACTTCACCGCAAAGATGAGGCAGATATCAAACTGTCTTTATCATTTCAACATGCAGCATTGTAGAATAGCGCATACTCAGGGTGAACTCGCTGTCTCCGCTCTGGTTTGGGCTCTTCTGAGGGGGCGCTGCGTGCCTCTCTCTCTCTCCGTTTTGGCCTGGTCTGGAGAGTTTCCCAGGCAGGGTTTGGTACTTGTTACTGTCAGCATCCACAGCCTGAAAGTCATGGTGAACGAGAGATGCCAGATGTTACCAGCAGGTGGCAGCAGTTGACCTTTGAATTGCACTCCTATGTCTATAGATCAAACGTGCATTTATCGGCATATCTCTTTCAACAAACGCAAGCATTGCAAGCAAAGTCACCACAGCAGACAGTTTCCATGTAACCACAACAAACACTGCAAGCATACTTCCGATCACATGGATTAGTTACTTTTATGATCATTTTCAAAATCTTCAATGCATAAATGAAAAAAAAGACTACCTTTACTGAGCTCAAACCAACAAGAAACAAGCAACAACAAAAAACAGACCTGCAAAAACCACTGTAAGGAACAAACAAGATTATGTTTTGCCAGCAAACAAAGTGATTGGGTAATAAAGCAGGGGAAGGGTTAAAGGTTAAAGGCCAAAGTGACATCATCAGTGGAAGTACCTCTGCTGACACAACGGGCTCTACTGGCTCCTCCGCTACATGCTACGGGCGGGAGGGACAGGGAAGGAAGAACAGTGCATATAACAGAGAGAACAGAGACACGGTTAGTCTAACAATATGAAAACACCTCTACACCACCCATTCATTAACATCTAAATAAGAGTAATGTGAAATCTAAATAAGAGTAATGTGAAATCTAAGAGTAATGTGCTTACTTTCTTAGTGGGTAACCTAATGTTGGTAAAAATTGCAAGTACACTGGGGCCAGATCTATCAAAGCCTATAGCATGTGTTTAAATTTTTGCACATGCAATTTCAGTGTCATGATTAATTATTGGAGCAACCTAATTACCTCAACCGATCACACGTTTTCATCAGCAAAACAGTCTTGCACATTCTAAATGCTTGAGTGAATCAGGCCATAATGTAAGGCAATGTGTGGAAGATCAGCTACATCTGTTTACATCTGTAAATAAGGCAGAGATGATACTTTCTTTTGCTTAATGCGTTGACTATTTGACATGTCTTTTTTCTTACAGGGGTAAAAATCAAACATTTAATTACATAATATGTTCCCTGTTCAATTAAGGTTTTCAAGTAAAATAGAAAAGGTCCGCTGTGGGTTTCGGGCCCTGAGACTTTCCCACATGTCTATAAGTTGATGATGCCATTTTTAACAAAGCTGTCCCAACATAAACACGCCTGGGTAGGAAACTGGGCTCAGTGCTGAAATACTAAACGCAGATGAGTAATAATTTAGCTTGGACAGTGTTTACAGAAGCCTGTGTAAATCCACTAACCCTCCGCTGGAGAGACGTGGCATTCAAGAGATTCTCTATGTTATTCCTGTGTCGGTCTACACAAAAACCACTATTATCACACAAGTAGGACAGCAACTGAAAGTCTTGCTGTCTCTCTGTGATAGTTACTCTCCCTTCTATCGAACATATCTCAGATGAAAATTTGAATATTTGAGATTTGCCCTGTCTAAACAGGAATAAACATATCTTTGAACACTAAAGTAATGCTCTCTGGGCCATATGAATTTAGAAAATTTAGTCATTTAGTCAATGTACGTTAGTATCAAACTACTGTGAGAGTTAATACCACACCACATATTGCCCTGTGGTTAGACATGGTGAAAACAGTGAGGATTAACCAGACGTGGTGGTTTAACAGGGAAAACGGGAGAATGAGCTCAGGATGTGAACACTAGGAACATCAGTGCTCGTTAACTCGCAGGAGTGAGCTCCACCCACAGGCTACCAGTGAAAGTTATTTTTGGTTAGTGTAACGTGACATGTGACACAGTTTTGCTTGTTTCAGTGAAGATATAAATATATAAACAAAGCTGGCCAAACCTTCTGCACAGTTCCACTCTGTAGCTCCTCCAGACTACTCGATAACAATCTTGGTTGTAACCTACCAAGTAAAAAAAAAAATACACATCAGTAAAACACAGGATGACAAAAATACATGAGATTGCACTGGAAAAATATCTTCCGGCTTCTTGATATGACATGTTCTGATATGAAAAAATATGGACCATACTCTGAACCATGTTTGTAGTGGGGTATTCACAAAAGCCTGGTAAATATTACATTTCATTTCAGTCATTTCGCTGACAAATTTATTCAAAGTGACTTACAGCTGATTAGACTAACCAAGGGCCAGTCCCCCCTGGGAGCAATGTGGGGTTAGGGGCCTTGCTCAAGGGCCCAACAGCGATGGTGTTCTTGCTGTGGCTGGACTGAACCACCAACCTCAAGGCTCCGAGTCATGTACCTTAGCCACTAGACTACACATTACAGACATGCTACCCTTGGGGTTCTCTGGATACTTTATACAGTGAGTTCATCACCTGCACCCACATGCCTCCATGACCCAACAGAGAGCCCAGCTATTTCAGATTTCAGGGGGGTCAAACTTCATGTAAGGCGGGATATATTCATTTCAGACTTCAAAAAGCTCTGCAAATGTAATTAATGACAGGCTTGCACTGGGCATGTGCACTCCAGATATCTCCTGACATGATCCCAAACCAGAAATATCAGAGCCAAGAAACCTCTGGTGTGCTGGAGGTTTTTTTTGTTCAGTGGAGGTTTCCATGCTGTTGGCTTCAGGGTATGGCTGCAGCACTCTGGAACCCAGAGTCTGCATGGTGGTTCACCTTCAGAGGGAGAAGGCATGTGATTGGCCATGACAGCCGTCAATCAATTAATCAGACATGGCGGGGCTCTCATGAGGCAGGGTCATCAGAAAGACCAATCAGGACCATGCTAAATCCCAGCTGCACTTAAGCTTCTGTTGGTCACCAATCAGCTTCTGTGAGACCATCCAGATTGAAACCTCCCAGCTGCACTGCACAGCCGTTTGAGCAAAACTGCAGACTCGGGGACATCGATGCTTCTGCAGCTGTGACGGTAGAGATGAAAGTTAAATCTGCTGCACTGCACTCTGGAACAGATCCGGTACATACAGTGAGTACCGCTTAACACGCTGCACTGCAGTCCAAATGAACAGAGCCCAACAAACATCCACCCACGCTGCACTGCAGTCAAATGAACAGAGCCTCCGCACAAACATCCACTGTAAGGCACGCTGCACTGCAGTCCAAATGAACAGAGCCTCCATACAAACATCCGCTCTGCAAACTGCAGTCCAAATGAACAGAGCCATACAAACATCCACTCCCTAACAGGCTGCACTGGGCAAAAAAAAAAATGAACAGAGCCTCCATACAGAATCTCCTGACATGATCCCAAACCAGAAACTCAGTCCAAATGAACAGACTCTGGTGTGCTGGATCCACTTTTGTTCAGCTGGACTGGTTTCCATACAGTTGGCTACAGTAAGTCTGCTGCAGCACTCAGTGAGTTCATGGAACCATAATATCAGGAAAGAGCCCAGCTATTTCACCTTTCAGAGGTCAAAGAAAGGCATGTGATTTCAGTCAAAAAGCCTGCAAATCAATTAATGACAGGCTTGCACTGGGCATGTGCACCCAGATATCTCCTGACATGCATCCCAAACCAGAAATACAGAGCCAAGAAAAACCTCTGGTGTGCTGGAGGTTTTTTTGTTCAGACTATTTCCATGCTGTTGGCCAGGGTTGCTGCAGCACTCTGGAACCCAGAGTCAGCATGGTGGTTCACCTCAGAGGAGAAGGCAGAGATTGGCCATGACAGCTGAATCAGGGTCATCAGAAAGACAGGGGCCGGGGCCCCTTCTGTTGGTCACCAATCAGAGACCATGCGAAATCCCAGCTGCACTTGCCATTGGCCGTTGTGGAGCCGATTGTGAGCATCGCCGGGGGAGACTGCAGACTCGGGGGACATCGGGATGCTTCTGCAGCTGTGACGGTAGAGATTGAAAGTTAAATCTGCTCACTGCACACATGTAATATAAGGAAAAGCATGCATCCGGTACAATTACCCACGCTTGAGTACCGCTCCCTAACACGCTGCACTGCAGTCCAAATGAACAGAGCCTCCATACAAACATCCGCTCCCTAACACGCTGCACTGCAGTCCAAATGAACAGAGCCTCCATACAAACATCCACTCCTAACACGCTGCACTGCAGTCCAAATGAACAGAGCCTCCATACAAACATCCGCTCCCTAACACGCTGCACTGCAGTCCAAATGAACAGAGCCTCCATACAAACATCCACTCCCTAACACGCTGCACTGCAGTCCAAATGAACAGAGCCTCCATACAAACATCCACTCCCTAACACGCTGCACTGCAGTCCAAATGAACAGAGCCTCCATACAAACATCCACTCCCTAACACGCTGCACTGCAGTCCAAATGAACAGAGCAAGTAGCAAAATGCCCTTATCGAAGGCGGGTTCTGCAGAGTGCAGTTTACACACGCTGTTAATTTATACAGCCGGATACGGACTGAGGCAGCTCGGGTCGAGTGCGTCGCCCGGGGGCACAAACCCAGACACGGCCCCATTACGGAGCACTCTGCGGACCTCAGCCCAGCTCTGCTCCACACTCACCTGGAGTCCAGATCCTTCTGGAAAGAGGATGGAGAGGCCAAGAGAGGGGAGGATCCACTGGAGGACATCTGTGTGGAGAAACATGGAGATGCAACATTTGAGCTTCAACACTAAATCAGGGTTTATCATGGAATCTTTCAGTGTTTATTTCTCATATATTTTATATTTTAATGATTAGATTAAAAATACTATAGCATTAAAATGTGTGAAATCAGTTTATTAAACTAATCATTTTAATTTTAAACAATGGCACTGCCTTCCATCGTAGGCTTAGTTAATGGAGCATTTATACGGTGTGTTTCAGGGAAGGTTCCGGTTCTGAGCCCAGACAGGAAGTGGCCACACCTCTGATCTGGATGCGTCAGGGTGGCCCTTGGGCCCCGAGCCCCGCGTCTTCAGGCTGACACTCAGCTCCTCCTCGCTGCTCCCCGATAGAATCCTTTCCCCAGAGACTGGACACACAAACATACTTCCATCAGACTATTCACCCGCAGCTGCCACTGGCTCCCATTCACAGTTGTATATTTTATTAATATACCGTACATTTGTTTTTTTTTTTTTGCAGAACAACCAATTTGTGAACCTCATACCATACAATACACGATCGAAACATGAATGCTGCTGAGAACCGAAGTTAAAGGCAGTTGTTGACTGACTCCAGACCTTTGAGCTGGGCATGAGAAAATGGCCTTTTGACTACTGGGTCACTGGGTCAAGTTCTGGGAGGGACGCTAAACTTGCAGGTTTGAAGTGGGATTGGACTTCTTCTTTAGCACAGACGTTAAAACTCACATCAGGTACTCAAGCTAAAAAAATAAAGAATATAAATAAAGAAACTAAATAAATACATATTCATTTCCATTTCTAAAATTGAATGGGTTACCTTGAAGTGTCATGACTTCTTTCATTTTTCTGTACTGGTTCAAAAGGACCGTGAGCTCCTCAATGCGACGATCCTGCAAAACACAGAGACACGCCTCGGTTTGGATTCATCGTCTTTCCGTAGCACTGATGTAACTTTGCATGCTGTTGCTAATTCACAAACAAGAGTTTGGAAATGTGTAAGAATGAATCTGTGGACAAATGTTGGCTGAATCCAGACCATTTTATATTGTATTTGTGGCTCTAAGAGTGTGTATATCCCTTCCCTGCATGTAAATAACTTGTATACAAATACTATTTATTAAATTCTTACTGACAAGCAGTAAGAGCAGACAAATGATAAATCTTTCAACATGCTGCTTGCCAAATGTTCCTCCATACTTGGAATTGGGGGATAACAATTCATTATAAAAATAATCTTTTTTATGTTTGTTGTTTGTTTATGTTTCACATACTCATTTATAGTATCCCCAGGCAAGTTTAATTTAAAATGATTATATCGTTTGATCCTGGGCAGACTTGCTCACTGCCCAAAGGCACAATCACATTATGGTTAGTCATTACCACCAACACTACCCACACCATACCTGTCATCTGAAAAACCTACCTGTCACCTGGCTGTTACCAATGGCAAGCAGGCACCGATGGTGCCGAAGAGGCCATCTTAAAAGATACAATCCCATATGAAAATATGGATTCTGGGTAATTCAAATGTTTTTTTTTTTTTTTCGTTTGTTTTTGAACCAGTGCCTTTCTGGACCATACCATGCTTGATTTACTGTAATTTCATATTGGTTTGGCAAATAACTCGGGCTTGGGACTTGGCTGGTGGAAACAGCCTGAGCTATTTGTGCAAAGTAATAACCTTGAATGCTCAGCTTGTATAATACAAAAAGGCCCCAATATAGCCATAGGAGCATTAGTGCTTAACTTTACATCTTTGCTTAACATTGAACTACAGACATTATGAACTGTTCTGTTCTGCCACGTCAGAACTGCAAAATTGCGTGCAGTTACTTAATTTGCGCTTGTGAATACTACAATACAGTCCTTCACAAATTCATTTACATTGAACCAGGCTGTGCTGAAGAATATATACTCATTACATTACAGTCAGTTAGCTGACGCTTTCATCCAAGGTGACTTACAGCTAATTATGCAAGCCAAGGGCCAAGCCCTCCTTTTCCACTAGACTACAGGCTGCCGTATACTCCTGCTTACCTTTTCTTCGGTTGCCGATAGCAACGTCTCCATCCCTATTTTCAACCTTTGCAACTCCTCATCTGAAAAAAAATGTCTGTTAGCTGCTGCTACATGTTAATTTCTTTTTCTTTTTTTACATTTAAGATATCCTCCTCCCTCCCAAGGTGTACACTGGGAATAACAGGGTGATCACATGGGTGAGAGACGAGCTCGTCGGACTCATGCAGTGAAAGACACATCTCTGGTGTAAGAGCAGAGCGATCTGCCAGCATAGACACACAGGCACATAAAGCAGGGACATAATATTCATATTTACAGACAGGAGAAAACACAGAGCCCTGTCACACCGGCCCTCCACATCCAGAAACGCAAGGATAGCTGAACTGGGATCAGTTTTGCCTTTTTGGCCCGTAGTAGATAAAGTTACGATATTGATGGGAAACTGATTCTAGATCAGCTATTGTTAAATACTCTGATTTGCTTTATGAAGGAGGGCACCAGGCCAGCACTGATGATCCGATGGGGGTAATGGGGGGTTGGGCTTAGAATAACAAAAAAAAAATCAACACAGCAAGATTCGCTACAGGTTTTTATGATCACTTGTGGTGACGGAAGATCAGCCCCGTTGATTTTGAAAGTCATATGGATTACAGAGTGAGGTTTAAGATTAAAGATCTCCTGGGAATGAATTCTCACGTGCATCGACAGACAG